TCTTTCCCCCTTTTCCCCATCAGATAGCTTGACAGCCTCCCCAGACTTGTGTACATATAAAAGGCTAGATTTAATATTTTCCATTAAACCTGAATTACAGAATTGAATCCTGTGGATATTAAAAGTGTATTATGTGAGAAGAACGGTAAGTCAGACAGGTTTTGGCACCTGAACTGCCTTTTTAACTTTAAAAGTTTTGCCAGAAATGGTGGGATGTGAACTAAAATAAAAAGACATAGGATTGCTCACTCCGACAGATACCGTTCTTTGCACACTTGCTGGTTGGGCAGGGCTCAGTATTGCAATTTAAGCCACCAATTGTATTTTCCACCTCTGTATCCTCGAAGCCAAGCATAGAAAGATGAATAAAACTTGTTTTCTCTCACAATTTCTCCCTGTCTGGCAGGAACAATGAACATGCATATACCCAATTAAAAGTAAAGCAGCTCTACTTAGTGGTGTAATCTCTCTGGAAAATCTTGCAGTGGCTTCACACAGAGTGTGGTATTTGAGCCTGATTTTGCATGATAAGTAGAATTTTCACCAGACATGGGAGGGAATAATTCCAAGCAGAGGAAACAGAATGAACAAATTACAGAGTTTTGAAAATACTTGACATATCAGGAAATGTTCTGCACAGAGATAATGGCCAACGATGCTGGAATGGTTGTTTGAGGCAAGATTGTGAAGGTCCATGAATTCCATGCCAGGAAATTTTTAAGTCATACTGTAGAAAATGGAGAGCCATCTGAGGTTTTTAAATCATCACAGTATCAAAATCTTTGCTACATTTTTGGAAACTAATACCCAAAACATCATGGAGGATGAATTTACAGGAATGGAGGAGTAGTTCCAGCCAGCCAAGTATTGATCCTCCGGCTCTTTACCCCTTGTCATTTTCCAGGAACAATCTTTAGCTACCAAATGGACCCATGAAAAACAGATGAAAAATTCAGGGCTCTTCACTTCAATCAAGTGGATAGTTGGATTTCTTTTTCTATTTTCTTAAAAATAATATATTATACGAGTCTCTTTGGAAATAGGGGAATAAATAAAATGATACTTGTTAAGTTCAGCAAATATGGAGACCAACTGTATGGCAGTCCTGTGCCAGAAATCATGGGGGCATGCATTCATTTATTCAGCAAACATTTGTTGAGGTCCTACTATGTTCTAAATGTTCTGCTTATTCCTGGGATGCAACAGGGAACTAAAGACACATAGTCTTGTGCATCTTAGAGCTTACATTGTAGTAAAGGATTCAAATATTAACTAAATTATCCATACAAATAAGCGTATAATTACAAATTTTTGTAAGTGCTACAAAAATTCTTAGGGAGGAACCTAAGAACTACAAATAGGAGTAAAACTATTCCTATTATTAAGTAAGAATTTTATATCAGATGTATGATTTGCAGATATTTACTCCCAGTCTGTGGCTTCACTTTTTGTTCTCTTAACAGTGTCTTTCGTAGAGCAGAGTTTTTAATTTTAATGAAATCCAACTTATCAGTATTTTTTCCATGGATGGTGCTTTTGGTTTTGTATCCGAATATTTATCTCCACACCCAAGGTTATCTGGACTTTTCTTCTATGTTATCTTGTAGAAGTTTTATAGTTTTGAATTTTACATTCAAGTCTATGATCCATTTTGAATTCTTTTTTATGAAAGGTGTAAAGTTAGTGTCTAGATTCATTTTTTAAAAATTTTTACACATGGATGTCCAGTTGTTCCAGGACCACATGTTGAAGAGATGGCCCTATCCTGAGGAAGCTTACAGTCTTGTAAAGGGAATGAGAGTCATACACAAATGATTGACTGAAATGACTTAACAGGTGTTTGTCCTGAAGGATGTATAGAATTATGCTGAGGGGTTTAAAAGAGGTGGCATTTGAGGTGGACCGTGGAAAGCGAATAAAGTTTCATTACACAGATGGGGCCGCGAAGGAAATAAAAACAAAAGACAAATCTTACATATTTCTTAAAAGATCACTCTGACTGCAGTGTTGAGAAAAGAGTAAGAAGGAAAAGGGGAGAGTGAGAAAACCACTTGAGAGGCTAAATGTGAGATTAAACATGGTAGAGAAGATGGTGGTGAGAAATGTTTGGTTCTAGATATAATTTAACGATAGAGCTGAATGGATTTGCATGTAGATTACATGAGGAGTATGAGAGAAAGAGAAGAGCCAAGAACCACTCTTGGGTTTTCACCTGAACAGTAAGAGAAATGGGATGGGCCTCGTGGGGCTGGGGTATTCAGGAGCACGGAAAAAAATGCTTTACGGCTGCCGATATATCAGACTTCCAAGTGAAGTGTCGAGTAAGCAGTTGGATGCTTAAGTCTTGAGATGAGCAGAGTGGTCAGTATATGAATGGTTTTTAAAGCTATGAAATCAGGAAGCGAATGTAGATTGTGAAGAAAATAGCTCCAATGACTCAAGCTTGGGAGACTCCAAAATGTGACAGAAAGACATGGAGGAACCAGAAAAAGACACTCAGTTAAGGAAGAGAGTCAAACGAGGTGTACAGGAAGCCAAGATGGATGTATTCAAGCAGGAGTCTGTTATGTGCTGCTGCTAAGTTAAGAAAACGAAGATTAGAATTGACCACTGGGTTTAACCATGTGATTGAAAAGAAATGGGTTCTCTTACTAGGTGGAAGAAATTAAAGAAATTAAGTATAGAAAATTCTTTTGAAGATTTTTGCTATAAAGCAAGGAAATGCAATAGTAAATGAAGGAAACTGGAAGTCAAGGAAGGATGTTTCTGTTTGTTTGCTTGGTTGTTTGTTTTTGACATGGTGCTATAATAGCTGAGATGGGGAAATGAGTGACGTAGGAGTGAGAGACGAACCAGCAGGAGTGATGTCCTTGAATAAGTGAGAGGAGACAGAATCTAGTGCACAGAAAAAGGGCTGGCCGCAGATAGAAATGAGGACACTTTGTCAATAGTGACTCAATTCTCTAAGCCAGAGAAAGCTTTAAAGTTTACTGAGTGAGTGGTGCAATTCTTATCATTCCTCACTGTCTGTTCTTCCCCCTTTCACTAACAGACGAATTCAGATGCTTAAAAGCAGGTCCAAAAATAAGCATTGAAAAAACAGTTTTGCCCAAAATAAAACGGATAATCATTTTAGGTCCAGAAAAGTTGAAACAAACCCTTGCATTTATCTCAACAACTTCTCCAGCCTCCATGTCAAATCAAGATCCTTATGCTGTTAGGCAAAGTTGCGGAAATATGTCACTTTGAAATAAACTTCCTAATGTCTGAAATCAGTTTTTCTATATGCATTTAACCTTTTGAAAATCCACAATACAGTTTATTTTGTATTTTATATTTTGTGGAACAATAATTTTTTTAATTACCATTTCTTGACTATCTCAGACAAAACAGGTAATCTAATGAATTCAGATCTCTCTGACTCGCCACTTTGTAGCCGATTAAACTACACATAGGAATTTAGAGGAAGCTTCAAAGTAAATTATGTATAGGATAGTTCTTGACAGGAATAATGAACTCTTGATCATCCGTGAAGTAAGTTTGACATGTCGCATTTTTCCAGTAGAGAAAAGAAACTGATCAAATACATTAGGCTATTCTCTGGTAAATCGTTATCATTGAATTTAGTAAATCAGCTTCATAGAAGTTTTCCAGTCTCGTGTGAATCTAAAACTTACTTCTATGATCAGCAATAAGCTCTCAAAGCAGAAAGGGTTTTTCTTTTTGTATTGTTCCGCAGACATGAACGTATTCACACCAAGAAAAGTAACTTCAGCAGATCTCTAATTTCCAGTCTGAAGGAAGTAGATGATTTAGCGACCCTAGAAGTTCTGGATGAGGTAAGGAACTCAGTTTGATTGAACTTAAATATTCTGTATTTTTTTTAATTTATAGAAGTGACGTGAGCGGGAGGTTGTTTGAATGGCAGCTGTATGTCTCATGCTTCCTTTGCTTCTGAGCTTCCTGATTCTTTCTCTTATCTTCGGTTTTAATACATGTAACTCAAATTTCCGGATCATTCCAGCCTGGGGTTAATTTTTTTTTTTTTTTTTTTGATACTCAAATTGCAAAGGAGTGCCTGCCCACAAGCATGGGTTGTTAATAGGTCATGACCCTTCTTCCCCTGAATCCCTTCTGGAAGTTTCACAGAGATGATTTCCTGAGGTTAAAAAGTAGCCTCCTACAACCCCGCTGTGGCACCCTTCCACTCACTCCTCGCCGGTTCCACCCTCAGTGGCTGCACCTAGAGGCCTCCAGGGAACCTCGCAGCCTGTCTGTCACCACAGTCAGCGGTCCTCCTCGTGGGAGCACAGAATCCCTGCTCTCCCAGAACTAACCTTTTAGGGCATTGAATTCTGCTTGAAACTCCTTATCCCATTGTCCTCAGAAATAGTTCAAACATCTCTTGGGAAGGTACAAATGCAAGCCAGAAAATTACAGTTTCAGCCTCCTTTTCCCTCATCCCCTTTTATTCTAGATAATCAAATCATTAGAGAAATGAATAGTTTCTTTTCAGTGAAAGGTTGGGAACTCTATCCTGCTTGATCAACAGATTTTTATTTTTTAAAGTACCTCTGATGTGTGCCTGAGCATTTTGCTGAGAAATGCAACAAATCAGGAGACATTTTCTGAACAGAAGTAGTCATTTGGTAAATTTAGGGTTGCGTAAACAACTCAAGTACTTCCTTAAAATAATCTCTCGCAAACATCAAACATCTCGTAATCAAATCGTGTTTGCAAGTCAGAGATTGTCAAAACCTTTATGAATCCTTACATTTCAAATTTTCCAATGATGTGAATTCCTAGGCTTGTGGGTTTTGAAGAAGGCTTTGCTATCACATTGTTGACCTATATGTTAAACCCTGAGTTGGTTTGTTTCTATTGCCTGTGCTTTCTGTTTTGTCTCTTTTTAGACCTAAGATCTTTTGTTCCTCTCTTAGATCATGTATTATAAATGATGACTTCTGATGCTCTTAAAATTGATTCTATGCACTCATGATTTATCAACTATGAAAGTTACTTTTCTGAACTTTTCATTCTGCCTCATAAAGCCAGATATCTAAGCAAAGGGCTAGGACATTCCACAGAGCCACTGAATAACCTCCATTTGGAATAAAATCATGTTCGCTATATCTTCCCTTTCCTTTTCTGGTGTTCCTTCTCTCTATTTCATCTTTGACATGTACTTATTTCCTTGAAAACATTATATATATGTAAATAATATCCATGTAATATCAAATATGTCCTTTGGAAAACCCAGGTAACAATGGCATCCCCCTGTGACTCCCAAAACCAAAAACGCCTGTGGAACGAAACATTAGTTGCTGACCCAGTGTTACATTTTAAACAGTCAATACATTTATTTCTTTATGAGCCTTGCTCCAGATTCCAGATGTTTCATTTATTATTGTTTACTTTTTAAATTGTAATTGACCATAAATAATTTTTAAGAAAAAGAAATTATTTTTGTCTTATTATAGAATACAGTCTCAGAGCAACTAGAGAAGTGTTATTACAGAGACCAGATTTATATCTATGTGGGAGATATACTCATTGCTCTCAACCCTTTCCAGAGTCTGGGTCTTTATTCCACAGAGGTATGTGACAGGCTTGTGTTCTCTTACTTTGTACTAAAAATTATTACTATTCAGATATTTAAATTAATTTAAATGATGCCAAAGAAAGTCTAATTCAGTGCCTTGAATGAACAATTAAGTAATTATTGTTGAAACATAGAAACAGGAAAAAATAGAAGATGAATCAATCTGGATATAGTATGTGGTTTTCATTTTTCCAACAGTATGTGGCAATTATTGATAACTGGTCTGTACTAGGTATCATATCAATAAACAGATGCCTAAAAAAGGTGTATACTTAATGTTTACCTCTGGACCAAGTAAGGGAGAGTCAAAAGTATAATTACATTGTTCATATTAGTAATATATACCTGATAGCTATAAAACTTGTCATTATGAGTTTAAATATTCCTTTTGACATATCAATTGGTTTTTAATATCAGGCAATGAGTATTTTATGAATGGTTTAAATATAGAATAGTATTCTGGAGTTAGACTAGGCTGGTTTTCATTTTTAATTGGACCCATTCTCTTCTAGCTATTTGTGTACTCTGGAAATTTATTTAATACTGGACCTAAGAGTTATTTTTTGGATGTGAAAAATATATAATTCTGTCATCCTTAAAAATTTATAAGAATAATGGCAAATTTACGATCCTTGACCTAAGTGTCAGAGATCTGGGCTTTAGTGCAAATTCTGCTATTAATTAACTATATGATCTTGGACAAATAAAGTGAGAAAACATATGTGAAATGATGTAAAAGGAAAAAAGTAATGATCATATGTCAGACTTTATTATAACCAACAGTCAACAAAATGATACCTGATTGTCTTATTTATAAAATGTCTTTTTGTTTAAAGAAATAATAGTATTTTAAAACCTTAAGTACCACTTCTAAGAGAGTCTTCTTTTAAATACTTCTTACCAGAGTGATATTATGTCATATTGTCATATCATATTTCTGGGCTGCTTTATGTCAGGCTTTTATTTTACATGATTGTGCATGAATTGTGCAGTGTGTGTGTGTATGTGTGTGTGTGTGTGTGTGGTGTATGTAATGTGTATGTAATGTTCTAGTGGTATGAAACTTTACTTCGATTTATGTTTTGTTTTAAAAACTGGAGCTCTCTGTACATAATCTAGGGCTTAAACAACAACAACAAAAAACCCTACGCAATATATACTTATATTTTTAACCCTCAGCATTCCAAACTATATATTGGAGCAAAGAGAACTGCCAGCCCTCCTCACATTTTTACATGTATGTAGTGTTCTAGTGGTATGAAGCTTTACTTCAATTTATGTTTTGTTTTAAAAACTGGAGCTCTCTGTACATAATCTAGGGCTTAAACAACAACAACAAAAAACCCTACGCAATATATACTTATATTTTTAACCCTCAGCATTCCAAACTATATATTGGAGCAAAGAGAACTGCCAGCCCTCCTCACATTTTTGCGATGGCTGACTTAGGCTACCAGTCTATGGTGACGTATAGCTCAGACCAGGTAAGGAGTCTCACGTTCTTAGAAACTCCGCTCTTAGTCTCTTGTGTGTCAGCTACGTTTTGTGGGGATAAAGCCTTCTTACAGTTTCCTTCTCTCACTGTTCAGTGCATTGTGATTTCTGGAGAAAGTGGTGCTGGAAAGACTGAAAGCTCTAATCTTTTGGTTCAGC